TTTAGCTCTGGTGAATCCAAAAGAGCCAAAGCATCATCCAGATTTTTGGAAAGATAATGTGCTCCTTTTGGGGTTTCTCTAGAAAAAGCAAAATAATTGAAGGACCATTCATTGTGATAATCTAGATGTACAATGTGTTTTGATGAATTCCCAAATAATTAAATATTTCAGACAAGGTAGTTGTTTTGAAATGCCTACTATTGCTAAACTACATTAGAAAACTCATCTGACTGCAGGATTGTTTAATAAATCACAATCTTATAATAACTGTGACTTAAAAGGTATTATAAATTACAGATCTGAAATTTTATATCACATTTTTAAAAAGCATAACGGAGACATAATTAGGTTTTTACTTGAATTCTAGAATATTAATTAGGTTTTTACTTGAATTAAATTAGATTTTTACTTGAATTCTAGAATATTAATACTTTGTTCAAAACAAGTAGTTAAAAAAGCCACTATCGCCCTCCCCTATTCACCCTCAAATCCACCAACATCCTCCAAAGCATAAACCATTATAAGTGAACACTGATGTTTAAGAATATCTGGATGAATGTAGGTGGTGCATTCAAGGAGAGAGCTCTAAAAAAAGACACCTCTTTTTCCTTGAATGCGAACAAAAATAAACTTTTAAAAAGTGATTAAGAGCCACTCATTTAACCAGGCTCTGGAGAAACAGTTAAATACATGGGTCAGAAAGACTGCTTACATAGTCAGATGGTTTGTTTGTAGAGCTAGGACTTGTATTTATTAAAAGCAATGACAGCTATCTTGTGAGTTAATAAAAAAGTAGTGATATCACTCAATCAATAACAGAGATGCTTCCTAAGCAGATATCAAAAATGTTACATTTAGAATTGTATTATGACGCACTGCTACACACATTTGTAAATGCAGACTTTTTATTTGTTTGACAGGCCTGTCGTTCATCATACGTACTTGAGCTCCCTGCTGAGCACTATATTAATTCTGTCTTTCAGAGGACGATTCTTCTCAGGAATGGAGAACCAGGTTTTTTTACCCATTATCAAGGCATTCTGTTTACCTGAATAAGAGAGAAAACACTTACTTAATGGGTATTTTTGCTCTGTCCCAAATTTCTTTTGATTATTTAGTGACACAGTGGAACCTTCCAAACTCCATTTCAGGAGTCAACAAAAGTACAAGCTTAGACCCTGATTCTCAAATTAGTCACATGAACAGAAGGACATGTTTGTGTCCTCAAAGCCTTGTCAGGCTGTTGACACCTGTCAACTGTCAAAGTAGTCTATCTGCACTTATAAACTCGTAATTAGAAGAAAATGAAAAAAAAGGCATGTCACTACCCATCACAGGCATTACACGAATACTACCTCTGCTACATAAATTAATCTCTGTGTGCAAGACCAACTCATACCCTCAAGAGTTCTCTTGGTGTGAAAAAACGTCACTGTTCTCTTTATAAATCCAAGCAGCACACAATAATCAACTTTGTGTTTGCATGTTTCATCATTCCAGTTAGATGATAAAGAATAATTGCCAGCTTCGGGTGTTATTTAAGGGAGGGAAAAAAACCCAAACAACAAAACACCAAATTAAAGGTTAACTTTTAGGAGAAGAACCAGTCAAATTGGATGCAAAGCCCAAGTGCAGTAGGTGTCCTATTATATTCGAGTATCCACCGGTAAGCATAATTTCTGATCAAATGCAAATGTTCATTACTTGCTTCTCTCTTACATATACCCTGCTAAAAAGAGGGTTTCTCTTTATAAGCAAATGGAGTTGTCAGAGAAATGAACACAGAAAAGGTAACAGAAAATGTTCTACAGTGTTACATAGCAGGAGAGATTTTAGAGAAAAGATGACAGTACTTGTTCACAGCTATCCTCCCTGCTTCTTGATGAAAAAGGGGCTGGATCTTCTAGACCACATCACAGAACCAACCTTCCAGTTGGTCTTGAGCAGTGTCTGAAGACCTTTCTCCTGCACCTAAGTTTCATGAGCAAGTTTCCAAGAGCTATACTGCAGTGTCAGTTTAGATATGTTAGCATAGACCACTGGCACTACTGCTGTAGGAAAGGCATAAGTTGTAAACAATGTATGTATTTCCTCACTAAAGATTCACTCAGATACTTAAGGGCTCAGAACAAAGATCTGTCTAGACCAACAGCTAATTCACAGCAGTGGCCAGTGCACGTATGCACACAGACTAAAAGCAAGATCATGTGATGTTTCTGCACTGTGTTCTTCCCACTTTCAAAAAACTCTCTTGAACCAATAGTGACATCCCTGTTGTGAAGATCTATGGCAGCATAACCCATTAAGAAGTTATGAATCAACTTCACTGTCTAGATCTTGGGTCATAGCATACTAAAAGATGTGCAGGCAGGATGGAATAATTTTCTTTTTAATTGCATGTGAAACTTTTTTTTTTTTTTTACTTTTTTACTATGGGTTACTTGTACGGTGCAGGCATACAAGAAGACTTACAATTGCGTTCTGTCTTTTTGTATGCAAGATTAAAATGGGTTTAATCAACTCCCTAAACAGTAAGTAAAATATTTCACTTAAGGCTGTTTGCAAAATGAAGTTAGATATTCTTTGTGGCATATGGAAATCAGATATCCTTTTGTGGCATATGGAAGAGACCTGCAAATCAGAATATGGAATACAGAATTTTGAATAATCAAAACAAGAGTACATATTACAGAATTTTTAGCAAACAAGTAAGTTTTGCCAGGCAGCGGTTTTAACAGCAGCATGAAGAAAAACACCACAGGAAACAGAGTGACCATGCTGGCAAATAAAGCCACAGCAGAAATGTGAGGATAAGCTTGATGTCTCACATGACCTTGATTCCACCAGAGGCAGTGAGCCTGCCACATGGCTCAGGGAGGTCCTGTTCTTCCTCTCCCAATGCCTCTTTCCTTCTGCTACCACACACCTTGTACTGGCAGTCCCCACTCACCCACAGCAGCCTAGTCTCCTGTGTCAGAGATTTAAAACAGCTTAAAAAAAAGTCAAACCAGCACCAAAGTCAGGGTGAAAGAGGAGTGGAGGCAATGCTGCAAGACTCATCTCTTCTGGCAGCAGTTAGTACCCAAGTAAGAACAAATCAGGTTTTTTTTACTCTCTTGATTCTTACCCCATTTGTGCTTTCACTTTTTTCCACAATAACTGGTTTCACCTCACCAACTTAATAGTCTAAAATATTGCTACAATGCAGAGTTTCTGGCCTGCTTGTCCTGAACATTATTGCTGTGCATTACCAGTACAGTTGTTTATTATTGTGCGCAGATGACGGCATAGGTCTGCAGTGTTGTTGCTGTACGTATTGGTACAGTTAGGGTTTTCTGGCTATTGGATGGTTCGGCACTCAGAAAATCAAACTAAATTACTATCAAAGGACCAGAGGGGTGGAACAAATGGCCAAGGCTGAGCTACAGCAAACAAGTTAGATTAGCTAATAGAGCCTGAAAAAAACAACCAACCCTCTGCTGATTAATTGGCAAATAAAAACATTTGCTTTTTTAACATGTCAGAGTTGTACGCAACGACAGGCAGCTGAAGTTTTATCCCCTGTTGGAGAAACACAACTTTGAAGTTCTCTTTATTTACACATCACCTGCAGCACTGAAACATCAGGTTTGTCTCTATTTTCTTCACCTAACCCAAAGCATCTGCAGACGACACATTTACAAAGGGTAAAATACCTGTGAAGCTTGCGAAGGCAGGCTGTTTGCAGAAGCAGGACTTTTTAAGTCAGGGAAAAATCAAATTACCAGGCTTTTCTGTGACTGATACCACAGAAAATAACTTTAATAGATAGAAGCAAAACTCCGGAAAAAGAAAAACATTACCTTCCACTTGGGATGTGCTAGTCATTCTCTGGAAGTACTTGTACTCATTCCTGGCAAGAAAACAAAAAAAAAGCATTACAACTTGGCTTAGGAATAAGATGCATTTCTCTAATTCGAAGAAAACACAAACAACATGAAACAAGAACACTGCTGGTGCCCGTGCGGGAACGGCTGGACAGGGCCAGCCCCATGCCACACCTGAAGCGAGACCTTTGGTCCCAACTCTGCTTGCATAAAATGCAACTAGGTGGGAAAAGACCTTTAGAATCACCAAGTCCAAATGCTCCCCAGACTGCCAAGGTCACCACTAAACCATGTCATCTACACAGTCTATGAACAATTCCACTGACGGTGACTCCACCACTGCCCTGGCCAGCCTGTTCCAGTACCTCTTTACTCTCTTGGGGAAGAAATTGCTCCCAATACCCAGTATAAACCTCCCCTGGCACAGCTTTAGGCCGTTTCCTCGTGTCCTATTGTTTGCTCTTTGGGAGCAGAGACCAGCCACCTCCTGGCTCCATCTCGTTTCAGCTACTTTTAGAGAGCAGTAAGGTCCTCCCTGAGCCTTCTCCAGACTAAACACCCCCAGTTCCCTCAGCCATTCCTCATCACAGTTGTGCTCCAGGCCCTTCACCAGCTCTGCCGCCCTTCCCCGGACCAGATTCTCTGGACCAGATTCTCTGCACTTCAATGTCACTCTTGTAGTGAGGGGCCCAGAACTGAACACAGGATTTGTGGTGCGGCCTCACCAGCGTCCAGTACAGTGGGATGATCACTGCCCTGGTCCTGCTGGCCACACTACTCTTGATACGAGGCCATGATGCACGACAGATAACCCACGGCCGAGAGCCTGCCGACGCGCCTCCTTGAATCCCCCGGGGATACCCGTCAAGATGGCGGGTCCCGGCAGCCATAGCCCCGGCTGCAGTCCCGCCAACAGGCACCGCGAACCCTTTCGCGCCCTGCTGAGCATCACCATCAAGCCTACAACTCCTAGGGCGCAACGCGCGGCTCCTCGATCGCCCGCCAGCAGGGAGCGCGCCGCGGTGCAGGCTGGGAGTTGTAGTCCGCCAGCGCGCCCGCCGCCCCTGGCGGGCAGACCCCCCGCCATACTCGCGGTACCTCAGCGGCGGCCAGGGTAGGCTGCCGTCCTTCCCGATGCCCATGTTCTGGCAAACGGCCACGATGGAGTTCAGCGAGCGCACCATGACTCCCACCGTCGCCTCTCTTCTCACCGAACTTCGCAGCGCTCGAGCTAACGCACAGCCGCGAGGCGGGTTGGCGTGAGACGGGCGGCACGACCTACTGACGCGGGAGGTTGTGTGGGCGTCGCAGCGCACTGCGGGCAGAGGCTGTTCACACACTGCCCCGCCCTGCGCCAGCTGTCGCATCCGGCGGGGAAGGTGGTGCCGGTGCGCGGGGCCTCTGCCCTGCATCCGCCGTCGGCATGCCGCGGGGGGTGCGGCGACGGCGGGAACGCGGCGGCGGGCAGCAGCTGGTGCTGAGCAAGTTTTTCGGAGCGTCGGGGAGAGGCGGAGAGCAGAGTGCTGCCCTGCAGACGGTGCGCCCGGGTCGGCGGTTGGGGCTGAGGGCGCCTGTAGGGCACGGGCCGGCCCGCTGATGCCATGTGGGATTCCTCTCGGTGGTGGTGGAGGTCCCTCGGGCCTGTCCGAGTACCTCCTGTCAGCAAGTCGTGACAGGAAGGATGAATGGGTGCCCTGCGGCGGCCCCTGCATCAGGCAGGGTCTCTAGTTTAACCACTGCTTGGTGTAGCATCCTTGCCTTGTGTAACACATAGTCTTTCCGGAAACTGCCGTCATATGCCCATTTTGTAGGACCTCAGACTTGACATGAGTACGGTGAGCTTGGCAAAGCCAGTGTTTGGATAATGCTGCAGCAGTGTTGGACCCCCGGCACAGCTTCTGCCCGTGGGCCTTTGCTGCAGTCATGGAGCTCAGTTTCCTGTTTCGTACAAGGCCAAGAGAGCTGCAGTGATCCAGCAGCCTCTCCATGTCTCTGCTGGGGAAAAAACGCTTTCTCTCAGCAACTGAATTTCATCATGAGTTTATATTTTCCAGTCTCCCCGTAGATAATGTCTGTAGCCCCTTCGGGCCCTGGAAAGGTTTCTGCTTTTTTCACCTGTGTCTCAAGTCAACCCTTTTTGTTATATTGGGCCTGATATATTTTGACAGTTGTGATTACTAGTTTTTGCCCATGCAGAAAAAATGCTTTCTAATTAGTATTAGTCTGCTGATATGTAATAGTGGACTTGGAAGGGGAATGCCCTGCCACTCATGCGGGTTGTGCATGTGGATATGTTATGTAGAGGTTATGGGCTTAGTTGCTGAGCGTGGAGATCCTGTGTAGTTAGGAGGAGATAGAATTTCCCGCTAATATACTCAAAACCATCTGAGATTACTCTATGAAACATGAATGCTAGCTGTTAGAAGTACCTGTTGTGTGTTTATGTTTGCAGTTGCAACTTACTTCTTTAGTCATACTGCATACTGTCGATAAGTTTGACTAAAGAAGTCACCAATTATGAAACAAAATAAAGGATGAATGATGAATCAGAGATGAAACAAAATACATTTTTACATTTTCTGTTTGTGAAGTGTTAAAAATGCATGTGTCAAAAGCCTTCTAAAGGGGCAGTGGTTGAAAGTGCTCTGTTTTATACATGGGGGATGATACTAGATAGGTGTTTACAGATAGCTTAGGTAAATCTTTTAAGTGTGGGTTAACATTTACAGGATGGTGTGGAGAAGATACTCTTCCATCATTGGGATGTAGGCCCTAGGAACTCATAAGTGCCTTTCAGAGACCAGTATCCAACAAGAAGAGGACTTTGAACTGAGGGAATGAGAATCTGCAGAATAGATCTGATTCAGACACAAATGTTCGGTGTGTGGTATGGTGGGAATCTCTGTTAAGTGCTGGTTCAGTTTTCTGCCACAGAGGTAGTTCTAAGCTGCCTTTTGAAGCTATAGAAACTAGAAGTGTTTCTTTCTGGCACAACAGCCAGATTGCTCACAGAATGCACTATTTAGCTTCCTCTGGTGTCCTTGAATGTTAGAAGAACTATTTTATAAATAAAGTGGATAGGTAAAAATAAGGATTTAATGTATTGTAAATTCATTTCATACTACCCCTTTATGAAATAATTGGGTGCATTATTGTCGTTCATGGAAGATGGCAAAGAAAAAAAGTAACTGAATGTCTTTGTATAATTTATGTTTTAGGCTTCTGAATTTGGCACAAGGAGAACATCGAATGAAAGCAATGAACCCTGTGAAAAGAAGACCAAGGTACGACAAATTACTCTAGAAGACTTCTGTAATCCACTGAAGACTCAAGATAAAAGTGAGTTTGCTGTAAACAAACCTTCAAGCATTTATATTAAATAAATACTCTTTCATTGTCAAATGTAAATGGTGCTTGTAGAAAACCAGAAAAACAAATCAGTGAACGTAGAGTTCATTACACTTACACTTCACTGAAAAGCATTAACCTCACTGTTCTTTTTAAAGAGGGAATTATATTCAGTTTTGTGGGTGTGATGGTGATTTGAAGTGTCATTAAGACACCATCAACTAGCAATATGGTCTGCTTAAAAACTGTAATGGAAAAATACCACTAGAGTTTTCTGATATTCTTGGCTAATTTTGTGGCTTTATCAGTACAGAAATAACCCGTACAGAAAATAATTTTGTTTCTTTCCCATGTATGAAGAAGAATACAGGTGAAGATTATTGATTTTCCAGGGAAGTTAATCAAGATGGTTGCATACACAATTCTGTGGGGCTGGCAGAAATACTGCACTGAGAGAGGGGAAGGATTGTAGGGAAGCGAGTCATAGAGTGAGATGATTGTTTTCTCTGCTTACTGATGTCATTCTAATATATATTCTGGTTTAGAAAATACGTTTGCTAATATGTTTTTGTTCCCCTTTTTTTTTTTTTTTAACTGAAAAAGAACCTCAGAAGTGTGAAAAGCCCCATATATGTTTGCAAACTCTAGGCAGACTGAGAGAATTCTGCAGTGATTCGGACCAGCAAAGTAACAGATTCCAGAAGAAAGAATCTCTTAGTTTGGAAAAATGTCCCAATATTATTGGAAAAAGTTCAGAACTGAAAAAGCCTCTTCAGTCTTGGGACAGTAGCAAAAAGGTTTCTGAGAAGGTATGTAGAGCTCTGGTCCAGTGCTATGCAGATTACTTTTTGTGGTTTAAAAAGGCAAGTTTGACACGAGATTCCCTTTGCATTTTGGTGTTCTGTCATGAAATAGTGCAGCAGTGCCTAATAGGCCAGTGTTTCTGTATGGATATTTTTCTGGAACTCCTAACATAGTGAGCTGGATGCCTCTTACAGCTGTTCAGTGATGCCACTGAAAAAAACAGCAAGGAGAGAGCAGAACCACTGGCAGTGTATCTTAATCAGTGTGTGAACCCATAATATCGTAATAACGACTGTTCAGTGTGCCCTTTAGCTGAGCTTTCTTTCAGCTCTGTCAGTTTTGATACAAACCTGTAAAATTCCAAGCAGGCTTTCTTTGCGAAAATATGATGTAGAATTACTGCTGAGATGTAGCTTAATACAGTTGCTGATAAATCTAGCTACTAAAGATATCACTGGGTTTTTTTCATCTGCAGAAAATATGGGTGGGTCCCATGAAAAATTATTATTTTAGAAGTCTATAAGAGTATAATAGTACTTGCTACTCCTAATTATGGGGCTAATTAACATAATTAATTGGTTGGGTTTGGGGTCAGCTTGCTAAGTTTGAAGTACTGAAGTACTTCACTTTGAAGTACATGAAGGTCCTGGAAATCGTCTTACAGTTGCCTGTTGTGGTGTTGCCTTGTGACTCAACTGCTCTTTAACAAAGCTTTGTATCTGTTTTTGGAGGAAGGCGGTTGTATGAAAGGTGGTATAATTTATTTGACATTGCCTGTCTGAAGGTCATGATGTTAAGCTGAGTGTCTGGGTTGCGTGAATGTGAGATCAAAATGTAAATCTCTTTCTTGTGGCAAGAGATTTCTGTTGTGATGAAGAATTGAGATTGTAGGTATGGTCAGTTGGAGAACACAGGAAACTGATCACTTCTCTGTCCCTCTTCTTAAAACCCTTGACTGTCTGGTGCTTCCTAATTTCTGACCCTTTCGCCATGCAGTTACACCAGATGCTGCCCCTGCTAGTTTAATGTATAGGTCATACTTTAGCATGTCTCACAGATGTTTGAGAAACAGTTCTAGATGCTGAAACTATAAAATCTATGTGTTTTATATGTGCATGTTTTTGAAACATGCATGGGATGTATTTAGTGGCTTTCTTCTGTAAACTGGAGACAGCATATGCCTGGCATAAGTTGTTAGTTAAAAATGTGTGTGTTGCAGTGGAAGTGCATGTTTCGGGAGCAAAGGCATATTCAACATTCCTTCCACTGACCTGTGGGCCTAAGATTGTTGTTTCTGCAGGTTTCCCTTTTATCTTTGAACAGATAAGATTGTTAATCTGTGTATCAGCTGTGCAGTATTTCTGCCTTCCTATTACAAAGTTGGTTTCCAGTGCCCTGATACTGTTGTGCTTTTTATAGCAGTGTTGCGACTGTGTATTTGTACGCTTAGGTGGTTGTCACCAAACAGCTTTTGGATCCAGTAAATCACAGGTTGTCTGTGGGATCGGCAGCTGTTAACTAACTTCCTAGAGCAAAAGGAGGTCAGCTTTAACCATGTGCAGAGAGACTCTGCAAGCAAGATATATGCGAAGTAAAAGAGCAGTTATTTCTTAATATACTCAGTAGATAGTGAGGGCTCATGACTTACTTGCAAAGTATTACTGTCATCTTTCTCTAAAGGACACCATCTGAGTCTGTGCTGCCCAGGCAGTCAGGTGGGGACGGGCTGGCCTGCCTTCCTTGGGGTGGCTTGTCTCAGTGCTTGTGTCTTGCTTTTTTTCTTAAGAGTTAGAACTTTTTTATGTGGATAATTTTCTTCTAAATCCCTTGAGCTGCTAACTTACTTCCATCTCAACAATTCAACTTTCATGTGTGTTTTTACTTCTTTTACTTTCTTTCATGACCTTATTTCACATGCTTTGCTACAGTAATTTTCTCTGTAAAAAGAGACAAGGTCATACTAAACTTGTGGAGGGTGTTGTCTTTGTATTTTACTTTAACCAATTTTATTAGTACTTGATACTGCGATATAAGTGAGGAGGAGCTTTGCTGTAAGTGAAGGGCACCTTATCAGTGTTGTTCCAGAAGACTGATTCATCACCCTGCTTACTGTACAGAACAAAAGAAAGTTGTAGAGCTGAAGTTGCTTGCCTAGCATAGGCTACATAATATCATTGTAAATAAAACACAGAGGCAGTGGTCTCAAAGCCTTAAGTCTTAAGAATTTTAGAAACTAATACAGATTTTCTGTGTTTCAGAATAAATTATTTTGGGAGGTCTGCAGAGCTTATGTAGAAAGGGCAGACTGGAGAAGAAATACAGTTTTGGAGCCTGGGAGTGAGCTGAGACTTTGTGTTGAAATTGGTTTATTTCTTGATTCACCATGGATTTTTGGAATGTTATTAATTTCTTTGAGCTGCAGTGTCTCACATGTAAATTGGAGTGGTAATTCATCTTTGTTTTTATATCTGGCCAGTTTAGACTGCCCAGTCTTTGCAGCCTGCATGTCTCTTGATCTGAGTTTTGAGAGCTCATGATACAGTAGAGATCTCATTTCAGCTGAGATGTGTGAGGACAGCTGTGAAGCAAAATCTTTTACTTTCATGACTTTTTAATTCCTTTTAAATCCAGATAAACTGTATTCTATATATCCTACTTTTGCTGAAGTTCTTGGGGCTGTTTAATGCAAGAACAGTCTTCAGCTTTTCGGTCAATATGAGCCAAGGTCTGCAGGGGTGATCAATTTATTTAATAATTCCTAACTCTACTTTTCCATCTACAGGAGGAGTTACGCTGTGACCTTAACCAGTTCTCTGCATCTTTTAAGTCTTATGAAAATACTCAGAATACTTCAGATACAAATCTCAATAAGAGAACCAAAAGTATTTACACTCCACTAGAACTTCAGTTCCTAGAAATGAAGAAACAGAATAAAGAAGCTGTTTTATGCGTGGAGTGTGGCTACAAATACCGCTTCTTTGGAGAAGATGCAGAGGTAGTTTTGGTTTTTTTTTGTCAGGATTATGGAAAGATACTTGCATTATGTTAGTGTTATACTAGGTCTGTGACCACCTCAAGAAGGAATGTTTTTGCGATGCATAAATTTTGTGAGCTTTTTTAGTACTTGAAATCAAGATGAAAAATCTCTGCATACTTAAATTGAAGACTATCCATTCTGCTAAATTGAAGACTATCCATACTTTTTACTAAAACAGCATTTGTTCTTTTGTAATCTTATGCTTGCTATCCTGCATATTGAGAACTTAAGATGAGGTCCTAGAATGTTCAGATGCATGTTCAGATGTGGCACCCACACGTACCTGATCTGTGGAACTGGCAGGTACTTTGCATCAAACTTAATTTTAAAATGACAATTCATAAATGGTTTGTAATGAGTTTTTTTTTGTGTGATTTGTCCCAAATCATTGCTACCAACCTTTGATCTGTGCTTATTTCCATACATGAGACCAGGGAGAAACTTTGCTTAGTTTCTGGGGATTAATTTTCCCAATCAGATTTATACTGTGTAATTTGTCTACCTGTTTGCTGGTGCGGTCACAGTCCAGAAACAGAAATATACTATCTGGGTACACAGTTAAGTGTTTGGCTGCGGTTCCTGCTTACAAACACTTCCTAATCAATGTACACCTATCTTTTGCCAAGGGGCAAAGAAGCAAATACAAATCATACATTATTATGTTGTTCTTCTGTGGAGTATTTAACTTCCACTGCTGTTGGATCAAGATTTTTCAGTATTATAATTGATTATCTAGCTTAATACCATCTTTATAACCACAGTTAAAATAACTCCTTTCTGTATACTTAGCATTATGGAAATGCTTTGACCTGTTGTTGAGCTGTATTGCTGTTACTGGTGGTTTACCTTATAGTGGTAAAGGTCAAGGTGAAGCATAATAATCTGACGTGAAGTCTGTGATACTGAAGCCTGTGTTAGTGACAACATGCTGGGACAGGAAGGTGGAGGAGCTCTGCTCTGTGTTATTTTTCTTTTTTCCTGTAATGTTTTCCTTTTGACACTTGACTCTTCCTTGTAGTTGTGCATCGGTGTTGTCATAGAGATGAGCTCAAGTATTGCCTTTTGAATTATTGGCTGACTCTTCTTCCTGTACTTTGCAGATTGCAGCTAAAGAACTAAACATATATTGTCATCAGGATCATAACTTTATGACAGCCAGTATACCGAGTCACAGGCTGTTTGTCCACGTGCGGCGACTTGTAGCAAAAGGATATAAGGTTATTCCTGGCTTTTATTAAATGATGTTAAGTAAGAATAACACTGAAATAACTTGTACTTATTCTACCAGAGTCTTATTTCAACTGCCAAATGGGAAACTCATTATCACCTGTTTTTGCAATTAAAATGGCTAACTTTCCTTTGTTTCAATATCAGTATTCTGTGGAGTGTCATGCAATGTAAGCAGATTGAAGCTTCCTCCCTTTTACAATAAAGTATATTTTCTAGAACATTTTTTTCTCTCAGTATTTTTCATCAGGCCTTTGAATTTCATAAAGATTATATGTTATGTTATACCATGTTAGATTATAGCTTACCCTACATTTTTGTATTTTATATTACATTTTATTAACATTTACATATATAATATAGTATAGTATATAGTCTATTATATATTACATTACTTATACAACATATTCTATTGTATTATATGACCTCTCTCTCTTCTGTTCTTCCTCACATCTCTGTTTTTCTTCTCTCAAACAATACTTTTTCTCTTTTCCTTCCTATTGTTGATCCCTGTAATTCTGTTGCTTTCTGTTGATACCTTTGGGTTGTTTTTTCTCATTATGAGAAAAGGACTGTTGAATCTAAGTTGATTGCAGCAATCGTTCTCTGGCAATTGGTGAACTCTAGCTAAATTGTTTCAAAACAGGGCAAGAAGCCACAGGGTCAGAAGTTGAGAGGGTAGTTGGAAGTGGAAAGAGCGTAAGGAAATGCAGTGCCTTACAGCCTCATTAGGTGGATTGATAGTAGCCTCTGCCATTCCTGCTCAGCTCTAATGATTCACACGCTGTTTGCACACCTTAAAAGATCACCAAATTTCTGTAATAACAAAAAAATCATTTATTATCAAAGAGCTAACTTTGTTTCTTGTTTGTGTGCCTGTAGGTTGGCGTAATAAAACAAATGGAAACTGCAGCACTGAAGGCTGCTGGAGAAAATAAAAGCTCTCTCTTCAGCCGGAAACTGACTGCTCTTTACACTAAGTCTACACTTATTGGAGAAGATATCCTTTTCAAATAAATTTGGTTTCAGACTCCAATCTTTGTCAGCTAGTGGCTGACATAAAGAGTGGCAGCAGGAAATGCTATTCCTTTAATTTTATGTTACGGTAAACAACATGCTGGCAGTATAAAGAATGTAATCTCTTCAGGGTTTTAGGTTTGTTGTGAAACAACAGAACTTGTGTTAACTGTAATTTCTTTCTGAAGTCAGAGCATGGACTTCCCAAGTCTACAGTGCCCTGTAGGTCTTGTCTTGAACTAGATGTTTTACTAGATTGAGAATGCATTGCATTCAGGAGGGTGTGAAGGAAGAAGAATTTGCTGTCTGGTGTAAACAATTTGCTTTGAAGTGAAAAAAAGGTGATACAATCAATGGACTGTTAAAAATCTACCTGAGTAATTAATTCTTGACTGTTATGTGAAAGAGAAAATGACGTGGAAAAAGCCTTTAACAAGTGAAGTTTTTTTCTTAATTTCTTTTCTTCCAGTCTTAGTTTTAATAATTGCTGCCTTATCTAGCTAATGTTTTGGTTTGTTTTTTTTTTTTAATTTCTCAAACTAGTACTTACTAGATATGAAGAGCTAAAAAGATTGTTAGATTAAAGAGATTGTTAGATTAATACCTGTGAGGTTGCACTTTAGTAGATCCACAGAGATGCTGTGAAGGCTGGAGCAGCTCTGCTCTGGAGACAGGCTGAGAGACCTGGGTTTGTTCAGCCTGGAGAAGAGAAGGCTCTGGGAGACCTTAGAGCAGCTTCTAGTGCCTAAAGGGGCTAACAAGAAAGCTGGCTTTTGATAAGGGCCTGTAGGGACAGGACAAGGGGAATGGTTTTAACCTGTCAGAGGGGAGATTGACATGAGATCTTGGGAAGAAATTCTTCCCCGTAAGGGTGGTAAGGCTCTGGCACAGGTTGCTCAGAGAAGCTGTAGCTGCCCCATCCCCGTCAGTGTTGAAGGGCAGGCTGGACGGGGCTTGGAGCAACCTGGTCTAGTGGAAGGTGTCCCTGCCTGTGGCAGAAAGTTGGAACTGGATGAGCCTTAAGGTCTCTTCCAGCGTAAACCAGTCTGGGATTCCATGATGATTCTGTTGGAAAACTGCTAGTGTACTTACAGACCTTCTTGTAATGGTTGGCAACCTGGATGAAAACTGGCTCAGCAGTGTGACCCAGCCTGGTGGATAGATGTGCAGCAAGTTTTCAATACAGCTAGCACTCTAGATAAGAGCTAGACTTTTGCTTAACTCGGGGAATTACCTGCTTTTTAGTTGCTGCATTTTTAACTTTAAAAACATTTTTAACATTAAAAAATAACTGATGCAGTTATTTTTCATTGTTGTATGCACATGGTTTGTGGATATAAAGTCACAAGTGTCAAGGTGAAGTAGCCCACGTGCAGAATGAGCTGCTGGTTTAACTTTTGGCATAGCAGCAAAATCAGAGCAGGAGTCACAAAATACATTTGAGAAGGACTTAAATCTAGAAGGACTTGTGAATAATCCACCAATGTCTGTGTACTATTTTTTTTAACATTTACTACATGTGAACCCTTTGCTGAAGCTAGATGTTTCTCTAGATGTTGAAGACGTAACAACAGATGTCCCTGATAACTACCTCCTCTGTATCTGTGAAAATGGAGAAAACTTAAAAGACAGAAAGAAAGGTGACATTGTTATAGGCATCATGGTAAGTCAGTTTCTCAGGGGAATCAGTATTTTAGGGTTCGTATGGGGTTTTCTTGGAGTGTTGTTTTCTTGGTGATTTTGAGAGGTGGGTGGTTATCTTTTAAGTTCATAGTTGTCTGTCTTCTAGATTCCTTTGGAGTTTTGTTTGTTTGGGTTTTTTTTTTTTTTTGTTTTGTTTTTATTTTTTAACGAAGTGCAGTTTAGGTAAGATATCATCTCTGTGGGAATTGCGGTGGCGTTATATTTGAAAACTACGGAAGAGGTCTGAAGCTAATAGTTTAATATTCCTGATGTCATTTTTGCTGCTGGATCACTTGAAAACATATCTCTGTTTGAGCCAAATAGAGGGGAATTACTAGCTTGGATGCTTTACTATAAGTATTTTTAGAGTCAAATGTTTCAAAGCTTGTGAGCACTTTTTTCCTCTATGAAATACTGTTCTTTAGAGGAAGAGACATGCTTTTTTACTGTTTACACTTCAGAATTGTCTGGTGAAGATTAAAACCAGAATTACTGAAGTGGCAGAACACTGATAACTGAAGCCCAGCCTGCTTGTAATTCAGTATTTTAAAAGCATCTTGCTTTTGCTTATGTTTGACTGTCACACTGTAGCTGGGGATGCGAGGATGAGTTTCCACTGTAGCATGTGCTAAGATGAGTTTCCAGGCTGAATGCATGCACCTTCCATAGACTTCAAATTATGTGTGTTTGCCTAGTAATAAAAGTTGAACAGTGATGGTCTGATGATAGGAATTGCACATTACATTCCTGAGGTATTGTCATCACTTACTAAGACACAATTGTGTTAGTCTTTTACTGTATCACAGATTTGTAAAGCACAATTGTATCTTTTGATCTGCCACTTCCAGATAGCACTTTCAGATTTGAGCATGTGGGTGCTGTATAATTTTGTGCTATACACCATAATCTTTGTGTGTAACAGTGTGAGTCACTGTTACTGTTACTCTCTGAAAATTAGAGTTTTTTTTTTTTAATTTGACAGGCAGTACAACCAACTACTGGTGAAGTGGTCTTTGACAGCTTTCGGGATTGTGCATCTCGCTCAGAATTAGAGAGTCGGGTTTTGCACCTGCAGCCAGTTGAAATGATACTTCCATCTAGCTTGTCAGATCAGTCTGAAAAGCTCATCAACAGTATAACCTCCATGAGGTATGTTGTATGGAAATTCTATTGTTTGGGTTTTTTGTCTTTATTATTAATTACAGCATAGCTGTTGATGGAATTTAGATCCAGAAGCAAGTATAGATGTGTAGTTCTATAATGGCCCATTCAGAACGACTGTAGTTTGCTGTTGGGCTGAAAATTCCCCACATCTCACTGAATTCTGGGCACTCATTCTTAAATTGTATTTAGACTGAAATTCATGACTTCTATCTGTGAAAGATTTCTGCACGTGTGTATTTGTGTGTTGATTTAGAGAGTTGCTTGCACACTGCCTATGGTGTGACCTGTTGGATTTCTTTCAGAGCTCATGCATTTATCTTTGGATCAGAAAGTGGTGTTATGTGGCTGTTTTTCTTGTTAGTCATAGTCTGAAGATCTCTAAAAGGAAAGGAGCTGTGTATTAATGTAGATAGCTGTACATAATTTTTGCAACTGGTATTTATCATAGAATCATAGTATAGTTAGGGTTGGAAAGGACCTTAAGATCATCTAGTTCCAGCATCCCTGCCATGGGCAGGGACACCACACACTAAACCATGTCACCCAAGACTCTGTCCAACCTGGTCTTGAACACTGCCAAGGATGGAGCATTCACAACTTCCTTGGGCAAACCATTCTAGTGCCTCACCACCCTCACAGTAAAGAAATTCCTTATATCTAACCTGAACCTGTTTAACCTGTTTAAGTTTAGACCCATTACCCCTTGTCCTATCACTACAGTCCCTAATGAAGAGTCCCTCCCCGGCATCCTTGTAGGCCCCTTTCAGATACTGGAAGGCTGCTCTGAGGTCTCCACGCAGCCTTCTCTTCTCCAGGCTGAACAGCCCCAACTTTCTTAGCCTGTCTTCATACAGGAGGTGGTCAAGCCTGCTTATCATCCTCATGGCTCTCCTTTGGACTTGTTCCAAGAGCTCCATGTCATTTTTATGTTAAGGACACCAGAACTGTATACAGTGCTGCAAGAGAGGTTTTATGAGAGCAGAGTAGAGGGGCAGGATCACTTCCTTTGACCTGCTGGTCACGCTGCTTTTGGTGCAGCCCAGGATACAGTTGGCCTTCTGGGCTGTGAGTGCACGGTGAAGCCGGCTCATGTTCAGTTTCCCGTCAGTCAAGTTCCCCAGGTCCTTCTCTGCAGGGCTGCTCTGAATTTCTTTTCCACGCAACCTGTAGGTGTGCCTGGGATTGCCCCAATGCAGGTGTAGGACCTTGCACTTGGCTTGTTCGAACTTCGTGAGATTGCCATTAGCCCAGCTCACAAGCATGTCAGGGTGCCTCTGGATGGCATTCCTGTGTTTCATTCTGTTTGTCCCATTATACTGTCTTGAACTTGGATACAAGCTTGTGTATTGTGTTGTGAAATACTGTGACTGATAATCTGTTTATATTTTGTGTATTTGTGTATTTCAAGAGCAAATTTGTTGTTTTCTCTATCAGTTTCATGGTGGAATGAAGCAAGAGTAGGATGTATTTGCAGAATGAAAACATAATCCTCTGAACATACGTGATGAACTTGCAAAATCTTGTACATGGAATCCTTGTGAGAAAATTCTAGTTTTTCACTTTTTTTTCTTTCTTTTTAACGGTGCAGCTCTGGGCTGTAGGGAACTAGCTTAGAGCTTGGTGTTTCCATTTTGAATGAACTAGTCAGGATAATATTATCTTACATGTTAAGAACACTGGGGCTAAAGAAAGCTAAATAAAAATGAATGTACTACATAGGCAAAGTGTTGTACTGGGGGGAGAAAAATACAAATATTATCACCCTCCCATATTGTAAAGAAAGACAAATGCATCACAGTCACATGGATGGTAGCCACCTGACAAATAGTAAACTCTGTATGTTGCCTACCTCACTTAAACTCTGCCCAAATCATCATTTTGTAGCTTCCTTTCATGCTCTGGGTGGCTGAGTTGCTTTATCAGTCTGTTCCACAGGCATTCTTTTCCCCACCTGGCAGTGTAATCCTTCATCCCCTTTTACTAAAAAGAAAATAAAGTTGATGTGAAATGGTGGGTAGGCAAGTCATCAGGAAAAGATGTTTCCTCCTCTACTGCACTCTGGCAAGAGTTCCACCCTGCAGTCCTGCATCCAGCTCTGGGGCAACAGCGCAAGGGGGATGTGGAGCTGTTGGGGAAAGTCTAGAGGAGGCTAAGGAGATGCTGCGAGGGCTGGAGCAGCTCTGCTCTGGAGACAGGCTGAGAAAGCTGGGCTGGTTCAGCCTGGAGAAGAGAAGACTCCTTAAGGGGAGACCTTAGAGCAGCTTCTAATGCCTAAAGGGGCTACAAGAAATCTGGAGAAGGGCTTTTGACAGAGGCCTGTAGGGACAAGACAAGTGGGAGTGGCCTTAAACTGATGTTGAGGAGATTGAGAAGAGATTTTAGGCAGTTCTTCGCTGTGAGGGTGGTGAGGCCCTGGCAGAGATTGCCCAGAGAAGTTGTGGTTGCCCCATCCCTGGCAGTGTTCAAGGCCAGGCTTGTAGCAGCCTGGTCTAGTGGAAGGTGTCCCTGCCCCTGACAGGCAGTTGGAGCTGGATTAACTTTAAGGTCCTCTTCAACCTGAAAACCATTCCCGAGTTTCTATGATTTTGTGGCACACTATAGGAACTTATAGACACGTTGCTGTACTCAGCTATGAAGCTTTAAGGGGCATGTGTATGTGAGAGGCAGGACTTAGGGGAGGGGCTGAAAACATCTGATTTGGTCTTGGGCATCTTACAAAAATGTGCCTTGTAAAAGTGGTGTATTCATTACCATTCAGGGGTGTTGTGGCACTTCCACTTGTAGTGAAGTGTGCTCTTGACATACTAGGTTTTTTTGCTCTCTCAGCTCATGTATGGACTGCAAAGGCATAGAGCTCTAATCAGATGTACTGAGCAAGCAATATCAATGTGTTTCCTAGCAGTAAAATGGCTTGTTAAGACTTGGTCAAATAAAATACCAGATTAGGAAGTAACTGACCTTTTCCAGTTGTAAACAGTTGGACGTTTTTGCCTTGTGAATCCTTTTACTTTGATAACTTTCTCGTTAGCAAATCAATTCTACAGGTGTATGCGCAAAGCGTTTCTGAATATACCACGATGAAGATCAGCAATTCTTAGTTTTATTTTTTGCTTTGTTGTTTTGTTGTTTTTGTTTTCTTTGTTGTGTTGTGCACTCACAGTTTTGTGGAAACCAGAGGAAGGTGGAATGATGTAATAAGCCAACAAAGCAAATGCATTTTTCAAAAAGAAGTGTTGCAGTTCCAGGTTAAGGTAATTCTGATGCAGGTTTAAGAGAGTGATAGTGTTGTGGGGTTTTTTTTTTTTTTTTTTTTTTTTTTTGTTTGTTTGTTCATGGAGGAGGATGTTAGTAACTAATTTCTGACATCAAAAAAAATACCACCTATTAGCTGATTTTGTGAACAGGTATTAGTTTGTAGGTTTTTCCTCTTTCTGGTAATTTCCTTGCTGGTAAATAAGCTTGCCAGCCTAAATGTCCTTAATTACATGGGAATGATAAAAATAAAACACATTAGTACACTTAAGTAGACTATTTCAAAACCAGTTCTTCAGGGATTTTCTCATATGGAGGATTAAACCACTAGAGGGCCCTGAAGTATTTAATATTAAAGTGGTTCCAGTATCCTGCTTTCTTGTGCTTTTAACTGGGCTTCAGTTTTTATTTAATTGCTTTCTACAGGCATTAATCTTATTCTAGTGCATATTAGGTGGTCTAAATTAATTAATTTTGGTTATTGTCTATTAGCTGGTAATTTCATTTTTCGTTTGCTCTTTTCTAATAACTCCTGATGATGAGAATTGTCCATTAGCTGTGAAAGTTTTAATTTCAAGAATTTTTGGAAGATCTTTCTGACTAAATCCATATGAAATAGATCTTGTGTTTCAGGAATGCTCCTCATGAAGTGGAAAACCACTGAATTTGTAAAAGCGGGGTACAGATGGGAAATAAAAGTAGTCTCAGGAGGTGTAAGCTTGGAGTGGTTAAGAGAAAGGTCTTTGTGCTTGCTGCATGTCCATGCCATGTAAGAACTGCTCCGAGGGTTGTCTGAGTTATACAGGACATGATTTGGTTTTAGATGTTGGGTATTAGAACTTTGTAATGAGTGATTCTTGAACAAAGAGTGTGTTGATTATTCTTAAAAAAAAAAATAAAATATTTAGTCTGGATAAACTACTGCAGCTTTATGAGAGCAGTCATGCCTGGTTATATTGACAGAGTTGAAAGTACCTGTGTGCTTTCCTTCAATTTCTATCTTTTTTCTATGAAGACCAAATATGAATATTATATACAAGTGTATGTGTCTCTCTGCCTTTCTTCTAAAAAGGGAAAACATACATAATGTACCTATTTTTCCTTATTGAATGCTCTGATTCCCTTTTCTTATTCTTTCCCCATTGCCACCACAGCTATGTCCTTGTTCAGCTTGCAGCATTATTTACTGGTACTTCTATTTTGATATTGTGTACATTTTGCATAAAAATTAATCGGTAGAAAGTACTATTCAAGTAAAGATTTAATGACTAAGAAGTACTATTTGAGGACAGTGAACTGGAGGTCAATTTTGGTGGAGGGCCTGCCTTCAAAATGAAAGGGTATGTTAAAAATCTGTTACAGAAACTGGTTTGGGACAAACTTCTGGTGGGTACTGTGCTGTTCCTGACCAGTTAGTAACATCTATTCACAACTGCTGGCCTGGGTGGAGGAAAATAACACTTTTAGTTTCCTTCCTTCCAGAAAACCAAGAAAACATTCCTGCCTTGAAAAAATACACGTTTTTACAGAGGAACATTGTGTTTTGTACTCTAAGCTCTTCCTAGTCAGGGTTCAGTACCCATCTTCCTTAACGTATTGGCTGCTTTGCAAGATGGCATGTACTGGTCTTCCTGAAATAATTTTTGAGGCTTCTTTCCATTTTGATTGCTCATGTACCTCTTTTTTGTTTATTTGAAAAATCCAGCACATCTTACGGATGCCCCAGTATTCCT